GAATAATGAAAACAACATAATTTTTATTTTCATTTTGTTCTCACCCTCTGCTCGGGAACCTATCAAATTTCCATCGACAATTAATCATGTTATGGCGTTTTTGACAGCATTCACAACCAGAGGACCAACCGCTTTTAAGAGATGAACTAGCCTATGGCTAAAAATCTCTTTAATAAAGAAAAAAAAAATCCAACCACTTTCGGATGCATATGGAGCTGGTAGTAAACGATTTGAGATTGTATGGGGATTTACAGTATTAATTGAATATTTCCAATATAAACATGTATGTTAAATACAAGAAAAGTGCCCGAGCACATTAAAATGGTACAAATACAAGTACTCGTAAAAATTTTACTTGCATTGAAAATGTATTTCGTAAGAAATTGCGGATTTTCTGATATTCTCCATACTGCAAAAATGATTTTACCAGCACTGGCGGGGCGACATCTCTCGACTTTTCGGTGTAACTACCACACAAATGATGTAATTAAGTGTATTCATCTATATTAAAAATATCAAATAGTAATGAACTCGTGCACTTTTTTGCATTTAAAACTGCTTATCAGGAAGATAATGAATAGAAACTAAAATCTCCATACATTTTCAAACGGCTTAATATCACTCTTATAAATAAGTACGGACGATATCACAAATGGCGCAATTATATCCCGTATGGTTAGTACGATAGCCCGAATAGGTGGTTAAGCACTTTTTATGGTTATTTTGTATGCACTGTATTTGTAAAACAACAAAACATGATTAATTAAGAAAAAAATCGTCAATACAGAAAATACAGATTTTTTAATAGAGTGGATACAGATTTTTTATAAAACCACCTGGCAGCTCTGTCTGGCAGGATCAATGCTGGTAAACAGAGGTCTCTATGGCAACGCTTCATAAACACACGGGCAACTCTCCACTCACTTTCGGACCAGCTCTTCACAAGGTAAGTCGCACATAACAACCTGGCTCGTTTCTTAGCCCGCTGCACAGTAGTATGGGAGGCATTGAGCTTGCCAGCGACGTCCCGGATGGAGAGGTTAGGATTCCGCTTATATTTCACCGCCACCTTTTTCGACGTCGCTGCCACGTCCGGATTACGATTGCCGCCGCTTCCAGGCTTCCTGGAGGTCGATAGACGCTCCCAGAACACTTTTAAAACGTTTGTCACGGTCGATTTGGCCACATCCTGCAATTTTGCCAACTTGGCGTGTGAGAACGTCGGATTATCTGCTTACAACGGAGGGCTGCACACACGGCTTGCTGACTCGTTAGGCGTCAAGTTAAGACCTGCTTACACTAGCGCTAATATACACACTTAGATTTTTTCGTCGAGATGGGCACCACCGAGCAGCTCGGCATTTTATTTTGCTGGATCTCAGTGAAAAACTTGCCGAGATTCAGCTGACAAACGGGAATTTCGCCGAGATCTCAGCTAACAAACATATTTTTTGCTGAATTTCCAGCAAAATAAAATGCCGAGCTGCTCGGTGGTGCCCATCTCGGCAAAAAAATCTAAGTGTGTAAGCCACACAATGCTATTGCGATTCCTAAACTCGGCAGGCTCGGTGTATGCGGTAATCTTCTGAGTTGGTTTCGATCATATCTTACCGGTCGGCAACTAAAGGTTGCCATAGGAGATTGCAGATCAGCTAGCTTCTTCGCCACATCAGGTATACCTCAGGGAAGCCACATGGGACCGTTAATGTTTATACTGTACTTCAACGACGTGCATCTGGTCATCGAAGCTCTTCGGTTATCATATGCAGATGACCTCAAAATCTTCCTACGAATCTGCTCCATTGCTGACTGTCACTTTCTTCAACGTCAACTGAATGTATTCGCTAGTTGGTGCAGGTTAAACAGAATGGTAGTGAACCCAGCCAAATGCACCGCTATTACGTTCTCACGAAAACAACAACCGATAATATTTAGCTATGACCTACCTGCTTGGCTCGACAATCGAACGCGTGAATCAGGTGAAAGACTTGGGTGTGATCTTGGATTCGCAGCTTTCATTCAAGCAACACATTGCATATGTTGTTGATAAGGCGACAAGAACTTTAGGGTTCATTTTTAGGATAGCTAAAAACTTCACTGATATCTACTGTCTAAAATCTCTCTATTGTTCGCTTGATCGATCGATGCTTGAGTATTGTTCAGCGGTTTGGAACCCAAACTACAACAACGGTGCCGAGAGAATTGAATCTGTTCAACGTCGCTTTCTTCGTTTTGCGTTGCGTAGATTGCCTTGGAATGATCCGTTTCGATTACCCAGTTACGAAAGCCGTTGTCAACTTATCGACCTAGAACTTCTCCGGCCCTAACCGTGGCCGATATCCTGTTTTTTATGTTATGACCATGCTTGAATGTATTTTTCTTTTTACCATAGTTGATAAGGTTAACATCATTGGGGCTTCATCCAGCCTGTTGATGTAAAACAACAATAAACAATTAACAATAATACACAACGTGTCGCTATCTGTATAATGGGTTGCTTTGGACCTTTAATATATGTTCTATGAACTCCATTCATATACTCAAACTTGAACAATGAAAACGTTCATAGTGGACCAAAGTTCCGCGCACATTCACATAAATGATTCAACAAATGTACATTGTACTTCATTTCTTCTATACCATAAAGTACTTGGATTTGCTCAACAAAAAGATTCAACTGGATTTCACAATTTCGTATTATATCATCTGTCAAACTACGAGACAATAATATCGTAACATTAGTTACCAGCAACTGATGTCATAGTATTTGTTTGATAAGTATTTCTTCAAACAGACGGAACTAAAAAAAAAGGAGCCAATTGAGCCACTCATTTGCCTTCCAAGATTTTCGATCGGTAAGTTTTCGTGGATAACGCGACAGTTCACGGAAAGGTGGGCGTTGGCCAGATTTGGATTTTTCAGATATAAACCTAAATAGGACCTAGATTATTTAATACTCTAGTAACCTCAAGTCTGTGCTCTGGTTTGAATATAAAAAAGAGAAATTAATCAATTCTTTGGATGTACATATGTATGAAAAAGAAGGTAATATTCCCTTCCTCTAATATATAAGGAAAATATATAATCAATAGCTTTTCGCAAGGGATTCAGGGTAATGACCATTTGGGATAATAACGTGTGGAATAATGTTATAAATTTGTAATCGGTAGTTCAACGTTCCATGCAGCGATTTTTTAATCCATCACGAGAAATTCTTTAACTCAGGTCGAACAATTCTTCGATAAGGTTCAACAGTTTCCAACTGGTTGAATTGGATTGCATAATAGACCCTTTGACTTTTTAAATGATGAACGAAGTGCTCGAAAACTTGAAGGTTGTCATTTTCTAAAGAGCTATGAAATGGTTTGGAATTGATAAATACATAGTTCCATAAAAGTAAACGTAGTGTATCATCAATAGTAAAGTGAAACTAATCAGAGTTTTATCATGAACAATATATTAAATTAAATGTGTAAAAATTATCGAGAAAATTGGTATTCAGAAGATGTAATATTCAGTGTGCAAGATACTTGTGGACCTGTTTATTTATGGACGGCTGTTCTGTAATATAAAACTGAAATATAATATCAAATGACAAAAAAAAAGTGATGAATTACTAATTTCATCGTCTTTTCTGGGGAATGGTGCATTCTGGGGAATGTTATAGAATCGTTGATAGTACCTTTTCAATTGTTGGTCTAAAATATATGGAATTGGTTCCGCTTTTTGATAGATCTAAATTCTATCCGCCAGACTATGACGCCACCCTTCTGTCTCGCAAAATCAAAATCAAATCTACCTCATTAAATAAAATAAACTGATTAATAGGAAAAGCGAACGTCATCGTCAACCGCACTCAAATTTCCAGGGCAGTGAAAGGACAATTTTCGGAGTGTCAAAAATATGATCACTAGTTTTACATTTATCAGAAAATAATCATTCTCCGTGTTTTTTTTTTTATTTATATGTAAAACCTTGATTTTTTCTTCATTAATTTCATGTCTAATGTTCTGTTTCAATCTTATGGTGTAGCATCGTAAATATATTTTAATGTTTATGTATAGATCACAATCAAATTAGCTCCTTGCTCCATTTACGTCAACATGTTCGTTTTATCATCTTCTTGCATTTGCATCATTCAGTCCCGCTTGCCACAACTCAACTCAACGCCCAACAGCACACACCAAGTCTCTCGCTCTCGCAGATGGCCCACTCGTTCTACGCACTGCTATTGTTCCTATAATAACCTTCTGTATCACATTCGCTCGCTTTCGTCACAGATCTCAGAAATATTTGCTCCACAAAATCATTTCAACTTTTGTTCTCTTCTAAAATTTCTTTGTGTGTTCTTGTATGTATGTGTGTGTGTATGTGTGTAGAGTGTTTGCATGTATGATTCACGCATTCGGTTACCTATTTTGATTCGATTAGTAATATTGTTTTACGACTAATATAATTATGCCTACTGCTTATTGTTTTTTTTTTTTATTCTTTCTTTTTCATGAATTTGTTATTTGCTTCAACGGCTTTTTACTCTCATATGATGTTCGTTTGCATTTGATCGATTTCTTTAAACACTACGCACTGTAAGTTTTGTTTTTGCTAGCACAATCGTCGTTCGATTTTGCTTTTCTTAATTCAAATGTTTAATTAAGCTTAGTTTTGAATATGTGACTTGCGGCATTTACTCGCTAACAAATAATGCAAAATTCCAGTTCTTTCGTTTGCTCTACGTGTTTTCTGTTTTCTTTCATTTCTAATTGAACACATGGTTGTTTATATTTTACTGTTTCTCGCATTTTAATTTATTATCGAAAATCCTAGAGGAAATTTTGGTAGAGGGAAAATTTGAAGATCCAAACCTGTTAGCGGTTGTCGTGTTCCGCGGTAGTAAAATTATTGCATGATTCTAGATAAATTGTTGATAAATGTTAGCCTGGCTTGTTTGCACTGGTTGATATTTTCCTTGTTTGTTTGGGTGTGTTTATGAAAGGAATCGTAGCCTGGCTTGTTTGCACTGGTTGATATTTTCCTTGTTTGTTTGGGTGTGTTTATGAAAGGAATCGTTTGCTATCGGGTTGGGGCTTACTCTCTGAATGCGTTCTCACCTAGTTGTTGGTTGATACTGTGTGTTGATGCTCTATATGATGATGATGTAGTATCAATATACAGCAATAATGATTATGGTGATGATTAGAATAGATTATTATCGTTCAGTTTTACATTATTCATATCCTAGATAATGTAGGATATTATTTGTTTTTATTAGCGCTGTACTTATTATTACCTTGTTGTTTTCGTGAGTTTCTTCATGTTGCCAAGGTTCATACTTCCGTTCTTTGCTTAGTTAAGAATTATAAGTATAAATATCAGTCATCTCTACTTCTACAGAGAACTTTTCTGGCTAAGCCAATCGCCTGATCTCAGAGAATCTCACAACATCGACAATACCGTGGTCGTGGTCCGTTAGAGGTCGGTGGCGGTGTCACTGGGGCAAAGTATGCGTGTACTTTGATATTTGGTAAGTGATTCTGAAATGGATTTATCATCAGTTTTATATGGAACTCATTTCGTGCGATAAAAATCATTGAAGCACCGTACCCTCAGTCGACGGATAGCATTCCTAGATATTAGTTGGCAGTCGTAGAGCTCTATCCGCTGCAGGTTGTGACAGGATATTAGGTGTTCGAGCGTCGCATCGGTGATCAGTGGACAGTTGTCCAGTTCCAGGACGGATAGACTTTCTGCAGCGCAACCACCGGCAGCCAGCTGCCGGATGCCTTCGTCAGTTATTAGTTCGCAGTGTGATAGGGTCTTGAAATGAAGTGCAGAAAGAGAATGAAAATGTTCATGTTCGGTTATATGGGACGATTCCTAGATAGGGATACAGTATGGATCCGATGTTGGTAACGCGTTTCCAATGTATTTTTCAGTGCCTTCCCGTTTTTGGCAACACCCGTTTTAGTCTATCCCCGATTTTGACAACAGATTCTTTCTGATTGTGGCAAAACATCATTTAAAATCAAGCAGACCATGATTTTTTTTTAGTGAAATGAGATAAATTCAATCGAAATGTACACGCAGAGAAAAAAGGCGCATTAGAATCAAATACAGTGAACTCTCTATAACTCGATATTGAAGGGACCATCGAGTTGTGGAGAGTTGACTGTGCATTGAATTTTTAATTTGAACTCATGTTTTTTTTTTAATCAAAAAAAAATCTTTGTTTCTAATGTAAAGCGGCGTTCATTCTACAAAGTTGTTATTAGAATAAAAAACATGCTTTTTAATCCTTTGGGAATGATCACAATGGATTCGTTAGAGGAAGAAGTGATTGAAGAGCTGGAGGTAGAAACGCTCGGTGCAGATGATTTGGAATTATTAAAATTATTGAAATCATTTGTTTTGAGCGAAGAAGTAGTCGGTGCTTTCATAGGTGGGAAAATTTTAATTTAATACATTTTTCCCTTTAAATAATTGGGGTCTTTAATTTTGAAAAATGTACCAGTTTTTTATACATCATCTGAAAGAGCTTCGTTTTTGATGGGCGTTGGCCAGATTTGGATTTTTCAGATATAATCCTAAATAGGACCTAGATTATTTAATACTCTAGTAACCTCAAGTCCGTGCTCTGTCACAATGTTTCATTGTGATTAATCGACACTGAAAGGGGTAAAATTTCAAATTTGGGGTGAATTTGAAAGGCCAAGTGAGTGGGGTATGGGTTTATTTGATTAAACGTCATTTCCAATTTATATATTGATACATTGAAACTATTTTTTTTCCTTGATTTGTTTTCCGTCGATCTTGTTTTCCGTGCTGAGCGAGCACCAATGCTACCGACGCGAGGAAGGCAGCTCCCACACCTGGACCCTACATATCGACCCATCATCTTATGAACCGGGGACCAACGGCTTTACTTCCCGGCGTGATCAGAGATGTTATGCCTCAGAACATCCCAGCGGCGCCGACTGGGATTGAACCAAGGCCTGCTGGGGTGAGAGGTAAGCATGCTTACCACTGCACCACCGCCGCCGCTCATTGAAACTATAGATACTATAGATTCCATAGATAAGCGGAGGAAAAGTATAATGTAGCCAAACGAACTGTCAGTTAGTGTAGCCAAACGAGCATGATGTCATCATGGTGTTGTTTGAGGAAGAAGTATTCCCCCTTATTCTGCGAGTCACGTGACTCTCTCTCACCGGTGAGGTGACAATTGTCACCTCACCGGTGAGAGAGAGTCACGTGACTCGCAGAATAGGGGGGATTGTAATATTATGAGCACAAAACGCTTTCCACTCTCCAAATTCCGATTTATTTCGCGGATAACTCTGAAATCGCTCTATTGCTCTCTCGTACGATCTACGTTGGAATACTGCTCTGCTGTCTGGAGCCCGAACTACAATAATGGGGCCGAGCGAATTGAATCTGTTCAACGACGTTTTCTTCGCTTCGCGCTCCGTAAGCTGCCTTGGAGATACCCACTTCGTCTTCCAAGCTACGAGAATCGCTGCCAATTGATCAATATCGAGCCCTTACGTATCCGAAGAGATGTTTTCAGAGCCTTAACCGTCGCCGATACTCTGCAAGGAAGAATTGACTGCGAAGCAATTCTGCAACAAGTGAACATTAATGTTCAACCTCGATCACTACGCAACAGTCTTATGCTGAGACTTCCACTTATTCGAACTAACCATAGCTTAGGGAGCGCTATTTACGGCTTACAGCGAGTGTTCAACCGAGTAGCGTCGATGTTCGATTTCCACTTGACACGGAATATGCTTCGCCGAAGATTCTCTGCCTTTTTTGCTGACCGAAGGCGCTTGATACCCAACAGCTAAGTGTAAAATTTAAGACTTATAAATTTTTAGTAACTTGACAATGCTTTCCAAGTTATTTTCGTTTGTAACTGTAGTAACTGTAGTATATGTATGTCGTCTGTATAATCTGTACTTTTTTACAACACATCATTGGGACTATTTCTAGTCTGTTGATGCAACCATAACAAATAAACAAATAAATAAATAAATAAATAACGGAAGAAGGAATGATAAAGTAAACCATTCCTCGATACATTGTTGCAAAGATTTGCTTTGCACTTCATTTTGAACGTTTACGCACGAAACAAAACAAAACTGCATAACGAAGAGCTTTATGAAGGCATGAACTTTTTTCACGGATGCCAGTAAGATCATTTATTTTTCATGGTTGCCAAAACAACTTTTGGTGCCTCCGCTTACCTATGGAATCTATAGTATCTATAATTAAAACCATTGGCATTTGGTATTTGAGATAAGACAGAGATAGGATGCGGAGGGCCCGCTTAGGGGGAGCGTAACCCATGTTATGGTTTCCATTTATTAAATAGTTCAGATAGGCCCTGCCCAAGCATAAATGGATTTTGCCCAAGCATAGTTTTATTTTGCATTTGCATATAATTGTAAATTTAAGTTTGCTTTTGTAATTATAGTTTTGTAATAAATAGTTTACCTCAATTGAAACATTGAGTTGTATAAACTTGACAAATCATACATTTAACATAGTAGTAGTTACAGTGTCGCATGATCTAACAACCACTGCCTGCAACTGATGCAGGGCTGATTACGGATCAAAACTAACATAACTCTAACACTAAAATGATCCCGAAACTAACGCTCATTCATTGCACTTTAAGTCATAAAGTAGTTTTATTTATTTTCGGTGGGCATTGGACAAAATTGGATTTTTTATATAAATGTAATTTTTAAAAGGACCTAGATTATGTAATAGTCTAGTAACCTCAAGTCCGCGCTCGGTCACAATTTTTATTGTGATTAATCAACACTCAATGGGTAAAGTGTGAAATTTGAGATGAATTTGAAACAAAGGGAACTTGGTGTGTAGAGTGAATTGCCCACCGGTTGATGTTGAATTCTGGACAAGTAAGTGGGTTAGGGTCTAATGATTTCTAAATAGAGCATACAGTGCAGGTGGATATTTTATTTTAAACTCTCTATATTATAATCTTTGAATCAGTTTTAGGTTTTTGGGTTAACAGAGGCAGAACGCGAAGGGACCGCTTAGGGAAAGCATAACGTTCACACTTGAAGGGTTCAGAGCGGCTGAGCTGTTCGGTGGTAGTTTGACCTTCCTTTCAAAACCAATTTGGCTCTAGAACAATTTTAAAATTGTACGGCTTTATTCACATGTTGCAATAATTGAAAAAAAAGCTCGATATAAAGTAGCTTAATACAATGAAGAGCTTTGAGTGTGTTGGTTTATTTCCTTTAAATTCCGTTATAATTGCTTATCTTTTGAGAGATACGCGTTCGATGCTGGTCAATGGGTACTAGGGGTCAGCGGGTGTCCACTGCCATGTCACGGTTTGTCTAGCCAGGTACCTGAATTTGGTATTTGGTCCGGCGGATTGAGTTTTTCTATCACTTCACGCCGTATGTTTCCTTTTGTTGTTATGTTTGACAGCAGCTTTCCGGCTTCGCACCTCCAAATGTTGCTTTGATGCGAAAAGTGAGAAAGCAAATGACAATGATTTTGCTCACTGCCACACTGCCACTAGCGTGCACAGGAATCTTGTGAAGGAGGGGCAATTGTTTTTTCTATGGTGCATGTAATCTGGGGATGGGGAGTACTCCAAAGTGCGTGGGAGATGGTGATGTCCACCCACCACTGTTTCCCTACTGTTCAATTTAGGTAATTTTATTTATTTTTTACTCCGGTGGTGGTTCATCTTCTTCAATGGAAACTGCTTTCAGACAGCCAATGGAATTGGCAATTTAATCCCATCGACAATGTCGATGATGATCAGTTCGTCAAATGGTTGCAATAGTAGGGCTTTAACCGAAATGATACATTTGCTGCAATGTTGTTGCCTTGGTGGTTGGATTCAGCTGAAGTCACTTCAGATGGTGGTGATAGCACCGAAAAACCGACATGATTGACCAATAAGAATCACATTCTCCTTTCGCATACACACTGCGTCGACAAGTACAAGGTTCAAACAGTGCGCATTAGAGTGATGCAAAGTTTGAAATTTTCGCTCCACTGTACTTAAACGATTCCAAATCGGATCTTGACTAACCTCTCAAAATTTGAACCCATTTGGTGTGAAACTGAGATGGCACAAACCATTTGAAGTTTGTATGGGAATTACTATGGTAAAACCAAGATTTTTGTTCATGTCTATCTAATAATTCACCATATCGGTCTGCTTCAAAAACTTTCAACTGTACTTGTAGGAAATTTTCCCAGCTACAACTTTGTTAAAGATCACTTTTTGATTAAATGAAAGGATCGAAAGTTATCAATGGTTCAATGCGCTGATGTCTTATGATCATGCTCAATCAACTGCTCAGCAGGCAACATTGGTGTTTCTGGGGCGTTGAATAGGACACAAAAATCATGGCTACTATGTCACACTGCAAAATACAGTATTGCCTACAGAGCAGCTGCTTGATCATGTCATAAATTTACCAATCTCTTAAACAATTAATAAATTTTTCCTGTCTCGTTTTACATAGAAACAATCTTCAGCAAAGTTGTAGCTGAGAAAATTTTCTATAAGAATGGCTATCGAACTGTTTTGCAGCTCAATATGGAAAAATACTAGAAGGTAATGAACAAAAAGTTGAGATTTCCCATAGTAATTTACATGTAAACTTTAAATGGCTTGTGCGAAGTCTGTTTCTAACCAAATGAGTTGTAACTTTGGGAGGCTAATTAGGACCCGATTTGAAACCATTTAAGCACTGTGGAGCGAAAATGTTAAATTTTGCATCAGTCTAGTGCGCATAGCAGTGAACAAACAGTATATTGCTCTTGATCAATCCAATCTTGATCAGTGGTGTTGAGTACTTGGCACTGATGAAGTCTGCAAGTAGTAGACAAAATACGCGTATCTGTCAAAAGAAAATAAACCGACACACTCAAAGCTCTCCATAAAAGTATATTGCTATTTTCGTCCTTGCACTTGGCTTGTACTCCAGCAGTGCTGCCAGTCATTGGGCCATCGGTACTCTCTTGCAATTTTCTTCCAAATCCCTCTAGAATTTCATTCAAAATTTAATTTTCTCGTATTCTTTTCGGAATTATGTTGGAACTATCTGCAGGATTCACTAGAAATTATTTGCAATGTTTTCTTGGAATACTCCCCAGAAATCTCTTGGAACTGTCCTCAGAATTAAATATCCTTGAGGTTCTTCGCAGATTTTCTTAGAACTCTCCTTAGAGCTTTTTTGATATTCTTCTCAGAAGTCCAATTGAATTATGCTTAGATCTCTTCATGATTTTTTCTCAGAACACCTTGGAAGTCAAATTCCTTTAGAGTTTCAGAATTTTTTCCCGGAATGAGCTAGAAATTATCCTCGGAATTTGATTGAAATTTTGTTCCCTTTGAAATTTCACTCAAAATTTGATTTTCTCGGTATTCTTTTCGAAATTATCATAGGACAATCCGCAGGATGCACTAGAAATTATCCGTAGAATTTTCTTGGAATTTTTTACAGAAATATTTTGGAACTGTCCTAAGAATTCAATATCTTTGAGGTTCTTCTCGGAATATTTTAGAACATTTTTTTTCTCAGAACACCTGGGAACTGAAATTCTCCTAAAGTTTCAGAAGAATTTCCTCTGTATTCCCAGAATTAGCTTCAAATTATCCTTCGAATTCCTTTGAAATTTTTCTCAACATTCCTTTGGAATTTCATTCAAAATTTGATTTTCTTGGTATTCTTATAGAAATTATCTTGGAACTATCTGCTGGATTCACTAGAAATTATTTGCAGAATTGTCATGAAATTATCCCCAGAAATCTTTTCTTTTGGAACTGTCCTCAGAATTCAATACCCTTTACGTTCTACTTTGAAATCAAGTTTAATTTGTCTGTCGATTCACCAAAACGTTGTAGTTTTTCTACCAGAAATGTTCAATAATTCTTGCCCCTTCATTCACCAGAACTGTGCAATTTTTAGATCAGGAATTTTCAATTCAGCTTGCCCCTCCATGCAGCAGAATATTGCAAATCATACACCAGAAATTGTCAATACAAACATGCCCCCAGAAAATTTTAAACCAGAAAATTTGAATTGATAAGAACGATGCAAATTTTCCACCCTTGATGTTAAATTAGAATTGCTTCTCCATCTTCTGATTGGTGCCAATTTCCTTTTTCCATTTCCCACAGACATTTTCAAATAAAGCTTGCCCCTATTTTCATATTTTTCATCATAAATTTTCAGTAAAGCAGTTTTCCTCCAATAATCAGAATGGTGCAAATTTTACACCAGAAATTATTATTAAAATTTGTTTCGCTATTCAGCAAATTTAACACAAAAAACTTTCAAAAAGCTTGCCGTTGCCTTTCCGTTCACCAGAACAGTGCAGATTTTCCACCAGAAATTTTAAATTTAGCTTAATTTTAAGTAAAGCTTGTGCCTTCATTTACCAGACTAGTGCAAGTTTTCCACCAGAAATTTTCTGTTCATTTCATTTATCAAAGCGATGCAAATTTCGCACCAGAAATTTTCAATAGAGCATGCTCCTCCATTCACCAGAACGGTGCACCAAAAATTGTCAGTGAAGTTTGTTTCAGCATGCACCTTTGTGGTGCAATTTTCAGGCTTTGCCTCTTCATGCAGAATGGTGCAAATTTTCCACCATAAATTTTCAATGAAGCTTGCATTCATTAGAACGATAAAAATTATGCACCAGAAAAAAATAATAAACCTTGCTTTTACATTCACCACAGTGTTGCGAACTTTCCACCATAAATTTTCAGTTAAATGTGCACCTCCAAATTTTTAGCGCTTTTCAATTTTAGAACCAGTGTTATTCATTTTGATTAGTCCCTCCATGCACCACCTTGATGACATTGTTGCATCAGAAATATTCAATAAAAAGCTTTTTCTTCGAAGGTGATTTTTTTTAACCTTAAATTTACCCTTTTCTTTTAACGCTCCATGAACAACCTTGAATAAAAAAATACACCAGAATTTTTTTGTATTCACCAATGTGGTGCAATTTTTTGACCAAAAAATTTCATTGAAGATTGTCCCTTCATGCACCTTAGTGGTGAAATTTTCAGGCACCATCTCAAAGGAATTTGCGCAATAAAAGGGTTTCAATTTTACCTTCAAATCAAGTTATCAAGAATCTAGATATTTTTTATCATAACTTCGAAAATGTGGAAATAAAAATCTTATTTATAAAAGGTGGGGCAGTTGCCCCACCCTGTGCACGCCAGTGCTCACTGTGCAATGTGATTTACTCGAGGTGCCTCAAAAGTAACTCTGAAATTGTTCATGAGTTTCGCATATTTTTCCAAATACAGAACTGAGTAAACGTTAATCTAAGTTCGGTTTTCGAAACTATTCAAACATGACATCCATAAGTTTTCCTACTCTCCTCATTGTTCGAGAAAATTGTTTCATGTTAGACGGACTTAAAATTATTAAGATATTGTTCATTAGGGCGAATGTTACAGAATCGATTCCAGCTATGATAATCTCGTATCCCTCATACAATAAGAAACAACCAACTAACGTCACTTACCAATTTTTCTAAACTAGGACATCCCACTGCTAGGTTCGATAGTGTGGCATCGGTTATTAGGCTACACTCTTCCAGATCCATCCGTTCCAGATATTTGCAGTTCTGCAAGCAAGCTCAACAATTATAAACTCGTCAAACAAACGATGCCCGTCTACCATACCTTTGCTAACGCAATAAACCCCGAATCGGTAAACTGAGTACAACCGGCAACTTCCAAAGTGTTCAGATAGTGGTTGTAGGTCGCTAATGCTATTAGCGTATGATCGGTAAGCTCACAACATTTGGACACACACAGCTGCCGCAGATTGATGCACTTTTTCGCTATCTTCGACACCGATGCGTCCGTTATAGTCTGGAAATTTGAAGGATTGTTAGACTCTTCCCATGATGCACGTGGACAGGACCCGGTACTTACATCACAACTGTGCAGATTTAGAACCTCTATGTTAGGACAAAACAGTGCTAGTGCGATGACGGCTCTATCATTTACTTGTTTGCAACCTGTGGGATAGTGTACAGATCCACTTTATGTTTGATATCCAATCTCTGACAACTAGACTTTTGCCTGGTAGACTTACCTTTACTGCTAAACTTTTTAATTTTGTTACAACCCCTAGCTATTGCCTCTACCCCGTTTTCCGTTATCAGATTACACCAGGAAACGTTAATCTCTGTAAGATTCTGAAAAATAACACCTATCCAGTTACAACGATCTACACCCATGTCGGACATAAGCCAATCATACCGGACATCCGTCGGACAGTGCTTTCAGGCTGCAATCGGTGATCTGCGAGCAGGACTCGAGATTGATGGCGGTGAGTTTACTGCAATTTTTGCTGAGCGGTTGTATGGCGACGTCGGTGATCTTCTTGCACTCGGCCAGGTCCAGATGTTCAATGTTATGGCAGTGTTGAGCAAGGGTTCGAATCGATTGGCTACCCACGGACTGGCAGCCACGGAGGCAGAGATATTTAAGGAAACCACCGCATCGAAGCGAAATGTTTTCGATCACCGTACCCTGCAAGCGGATAATATGTACTGTCGTTATACTGATAAAATAATGAACCCGAATTCATACCTCAATGTCTCTCTGAAAATCGAACAGATTGATTTTCTGCCAATTTGAACCATCCAGTGCTAGGATATTCCAATATCGGGATACCTTTAGAAAAAGTGCTTGGTTGTAAAATTCAATATAACATAGATGAATGGAGATCTTATACCTGACCGCACCGACATAGCGAGGTTACGTCAAGATAGGATAAGATCCGTAGCAGTATCTCTTTGGGTAGTTTCTTGGAAATTTCATCTTCTGGAACGATGTAGGTTTTCTGGAAAATATAAAAATAAAATAGCAATAATGAGTTAACAAAGATAATTATTGCCATCTGCTAGGAAACATGCACTTTCAAACTATTCAACTTTAGTGCCTCGAAAAAGTAAAAATCTTTTTTTTTTAATATTACTGCAGAAAGTAGAACGAGCTAGATCAACTGATTCGTGAATAGCGTGATTGGAGTCATTTGTGTGTAACAATCCAAAGGAAAATGCCACCACCATCGTATTTTATTACGGTAGATCAGGCATAATTAAAACTCGTTCTTAGTCGACGGGGAAAAGGTGTTGTTTTATAATTATTATGCAATGCGCGAGGATAATATTTTAATATTGAGTTCATGCAATCGATCGATTTGAAGTAGTTTGACAAAAGGTGAACGCGAAGGGGTTAGAACATTATATTGTTTTGAGAGTTGGTACACAGGTAGATTGAAGTTTAGGGAACGCCACTGGTAAGACAGAAAGAATTAATTTCAAACCAGTCCGCATCGTGCTCTCTTGCCGGGCGGATTTATTTGTTTTTTGTTGAAGAAAGTATTACTACTACCTAAATTCAAACTCTTGGTCCCCCTTCCGATGAAATTATTTGAGCAATCAATTTGATTTGCTCACGAATGATGAGAATGATCCATCATCCAAGAAAAATTATAGTAAACTTTCCCGGCTTAATGTCAAGAAGGAAAAGATTCCCCCTATTGTGATGGAGTAAAATTTGCCAACAATATTGTCATGACTTTGAGATTCAGTAATGGATTTTAAATCATTAAATATGTTAAATTGGAATGCTCGATCTCTTAAAGATAATGAACACGAGCTATTTAACTTTTTGAGAGTTCATAACGTGCATATTGCCGTTATTACTGAAACGCCTTCTTCTTCTTCTTCGCATTTTCAAGCTTATTGCATATCGCATATTGAATATTCGATGCCTTTACCATTTTTGCATTGGTATAATTGTGTGGCAAGTACAATCATACTTCTATGCCAAGGGATGTCGAGAAATTTTCCAACCCGAAAAATTCCTAGACTAGACCGGGAATCGAACCCAGTCACCTCCAGCATGGTTTTGCTTTGTAGCTGCGCCTTTACCGACTGAGCTAAGGGAGGCCCCAATTATTACTGAAACGTTCCTTAACGTTAAGAGAGACACACATTATTTCATTTATAGAAATGATCGTCTTGATGGAGCCTGTGGTGGCGTTGCCATCAATGTTCATAGACGAATCAAACACAACATTCTTTCTTCATTTGAAACCTAAGTTTTTGAATCTTTGGGAGTTTCTGTTGAAACAAAATTTGGACAACTTACGTTTATACAGGGTGGCCAGTGAATTTTCATTTTGAAATTCCCGGTGTTTTCCCGGTTCAAATCCTAAAAATTTCCCGGTTGTTAATATTCAACAAAAAGCTGGAAGGAATTTACTGAAAGGATAAAAAATGTGATTTATGGAGATTCCCAAAATTCTGGGGCTTTGAAATTTGTGTAGAGTCTGAAACTAGAACTTTTCTTCAAAATTTGTGATAAATAAAATGCAAGATTTGGAGAAAAAATAATTAAAATGTGAGATTTTGAAACAATTTCAAGATCACAGATTTGAAGAAAAAAAATACTTATGAGTCGTGGAGTCATAATTTTCAAGCTCTTGGAAGCATTTTAAGGGTTATAAAAAATTACAGAACAATCTATAGAATCTTGCGGACAAAGCTTGGAATTTTTGGTAAAATTTATAAGAATTCAAAGTGTTGATTTCGAACATATATTGAGAAGGATTCTCACACCGTTTTCGAAGGAGAAGTTCTGAGCAGAAGTCCAAAATTAGAGTCCTTAAAAATTGTTAGCTGAATTTGGAGGGATTTCTGTGGAGAAGAATGCAAGTTCTAAATTAATTTTTAGGTAAATTTAGAAGATTTCACAAGGCGGCTTATTACGGATGTCACTTCACGCTGAAAACTTGTCACTTGTCGTCACGGTGAAGTGATTCCCATTTGATTTGTACGGCAATCACGGCTCTTATTCTGAGTATCACTTCCTTATCACCGTGTAGTGACACCCGTAATAAGGCCCAAGGAGTTATGAAAAACAAAACTTTAAATCGTGAGGAAAATGACAGAAGAATTTAAAGAAGAATTCAAAGAGAATTATGATCAGAATTCAACATGAAACAGAGTTCTAAGAGTGTTCTTGGGATAATTTCAACCCTATTGCGAAAGATTCATCACAGAGCTCCAACAAAATTGATTGCAAAACATTTGCTGATAATTAGAAAGAAATTCTTTAAAATACTCTAAAGCATTTCTAAATAAAATTTCGAAAGATTTCTGTTGTTTTGAATAGAGTTAAATTAAAAAAAATCAAAGGGAATTCTAAGAAGGATTCCAACTAAATTCTTAGAAGGGGTTTCTAGTAAATTCCAAAAATAATTCAACGGTAATTATTGCGCGGAGTGTTTTCTGGTTAATTTCAGAAGAATTCCATGATAATTCAAAGCAGAATTCCAAGTTCATTCTGGAATTCATATCATGAGAATTTTGAACAACGAAAAATTGAAACCCCGGAAAAGAATAATTCAGGTTCGGTTTTTACAAATATTTGTTTCCAAAGTCCAGCATCTTAAATATTTTCTTTTAAGGACTATGCACTTTTCATCTGAAATTGAAACGACAAAAATCAATTTGCAATATTGCTGAGTGATTAAGTTCTCAAAACAATAAGACGGGAAACTGAAGAAAATTATGCAGCAAATAGAGCAAGACATTCATTTGGTAAAGGATCACTCTGTTTTAATGGTTTATTCTGAAATCCTGGTGTAAAAATTGTTCCTATGGTATGGTTAATTTATTTTTCCCGGTTCTCTCGTCGAATTCCCGGGTTTTTCCCGGTTACTTTTCAAATTCCCGGATATTTCCCGATATTCCCGGTTTTCCCGGTTTGCTGGCCACCCTGAGTTTATAGCTACCTATTTGCCATTCCAATGCGTAGGCCAGGAAAAGAATTGTCTCAAGGGTGACCTTCAGAAACTTACCCGTCATAGGTCTAAATTCTTCATTATTGGTGATTTTAATGCAAAACACCGCTCATGGAACAATGCTCGAAGCAATTCCAATGGTAATATTCTGTTTGATGAGTTTTCTACAGGTTATTACATTATTCAATATCCAAACAGCCCAACATGCTTTTCTTCAGCAAGAAATCCATCAACTGTTGATTTGGTCTTAACTGATTCATGTCAACTTTGTAGCCAATTGGTTACTCATGCTGACTTCGGTTCTGATCACCTTCCCGTAACTTTTGAAATATTGCAGCAATAATGTCTAATCCCAACAGCTCTACTTTCAATTACCATAGAGCTGATTGGGAGCAATATCGAACATTTATGGAATATAGCTTTGATCCCAACTAAGAGATGAACTAGCCTATGTGTTCGGTTCCGAACGTTTGAATTTGCGTTAATATGTCCATTTTGTCCCTATCTTCCCTTACATTCCAAACGAAAAGTTGAATCTTTTTGCCCATCTAGAACCCCTCGTCTTTCCCGTTGTCAGTGTCCAATCCATATTTTTGTTTGTGCCTCTTTCGACATTCCCATGTAAATAGGCGGAGCCTATTCTGTATAACCCTCACGCACGACAGAGAAAGTGTTAGTATATAAGTGAACGTCAAAGGGCGCAGTATGATTATTAGTATTTTAGTCGTCTTACGATAAAGTCAAGAAAATAAACATTGTTACACAGAGAAGCCGAATTTTTCATTTCTCCACTAAAGGGAGCATCATTCCGATCCTATCCACTGCGGAACTGAAGCATCTGATCGCTGCTGTTGCTGAACCTGTTGCCGAACAGTCCACCCGTCCCGTTGCTCATCGGAGCAGCACCCAAGGAAGCAATTAGTGTTGATTCCTTCGATTCGGTCCACAATTAGATCCTTCCGTGGTAGTCTAATGTGGATACCGTTTTGACTGCACACGGATCACCTATTGCTTAACTGTAATCAAATACCCGCTGCTGGAGCACCAACTAGAGAATCCAACAATCTCTGGCCTGTTGGTTGTTATCCAGTGGCAATTTTTGATTATTCCCCGAAGGGAGTTCCATTCCGGAGATTTTTACGTTGTGCACCGCACATTGTTTGGTCCTTCGAACCGGATTCAGCATCGGTGCTTTGCAGTTGCAGTTGGATAATTTAGTAGCTCTAGTGGAGAAACCATCCATCACCATCGTTCGCGTTCCGAAAGTACAGTTCGCGCGAGTGAAGTGAAAATATTGAAGCACGTCCGAACGAGTTTTAGAAAAGACAGTACAGTGGTGTGTGTGCCCAGTTGGGACGAAGAAAAGACAGTACAGTCGTGTGTGTGCCCAGTTGAGACGAAGAAAAGACAGTACAGTCGTGTGTGTGCCCAGTTGGGACGAAGAAAGAACTAGTGTAGTGAGTGTGCCCTATTGGGCTGAAGAAACAGTCGCAAGTTCCACGCATCTATGTCGCTGCTCCACACCCCCCAAAAAGGTGCTGCTAAGATGGCCGATGTGAAGACGCTCGTACATCTTCGTGGCCAAGCGAAAGCCAAGGTGACCAGGATACGGAAGGCCATTGAAGAGACTTCGGAAGCTGGCGTTGTTCAATTTACCCTCGCCCAGTTAAAGGTGTATGCCAAGAATCTGGAGGCCCACTTCCAAGAGTACCTCAGTTTCCATCACCAAATCATTGCATTGCTACCGCCGGAAAAGCTAGATCAGAACGATGATACGTACATTCAGTTTGAGACTCATCACATCGAAACCGCTACGATGGTGGAAGCCCTGATCCAGTCCGTTATACCGCAACCCACTCCTCCCGCAGTAGTGCCCATGCCTGCGCCAGGTTTCCAGCAACAGCAAATTGTTGTACAGCAGCAACCGCTTCCGGTTCCTATCCCTTCGTTTGATGGGAAGCCGGAGAATTGGCCAAGGTTCCAGCAGGTGTTTTCGGATATCATGGCCAGATCCAGGGACTCCAATG